CGTCCTGCACAAGCCAATTATCCTTCCTGATCATTCTGCTCATGCTGCTAGTACAGGCTCTGTGTTACTCGCTGCACTCACAGCCTATGCAGCGTCCTGCAGGTCGCAGCTCTTGCTGTTGTTGATCATGTGCTCGTCTCCCCTCCCCAATGTGGCACGTGCTTGTGTGGTGGTGGCAGGTGGTGGGGGTGATGGTGGTGGCGGGAGTGATGGCGGGGGTGTTGGGCATTGGAGGCGCACCGCTCTTCAATCCCTTCATGCTCACCCTTGGCATTCCGCCCCAGGTACCACCACGTGATGTTTCTCCAGGTACCACCAAGCGATGTTGCTCCAGGTACCGCCGACCTATGCTGCCCCCCAGGTATTGCTGAACGACGCTGCCCCAGGTACTGCCAAATTCTTTTGCCCCAAGTACTGCCGAATAAATCCGCCCCAGGGATTTCTGAATGATTATGGCCCAAGTAAGTCTTTCACGACCACGCAAACCCCACTCCTTCTCACTTCCCACACGTCCCCCCTTCACCCTCCCTCCAGATCACAGCATCAACGTGCGTGATGATGGTGCTATTCGGAAGTGGTCGTGAAGGACTTGTGCAACCGTCTTGTGCCGCTGACCCTCAGTAATGATGGCACCATGCCACTGCACCAACTGTCTTGTGCCGCTGACCCTACTCCCTCTCACTTCCCCACTTCTCTTCCCCTAAACCCAAACCCGTGTGCCCACCCGCCCTTTTCCTCCCAATCTCCTCCAGAGCACAGCATCAACGTCAGTGATGATGGCACCATGCCACTGCACCAACCGTCTTGTGCCGCTGACCCCACTCCCTCTCACTACCCCCTCCCTCTCACTACCCCCTCCCTCTCACTTCCCCCTCCCTCCTTCCAGATAACAGCATCAACGTCAGTGATGATGGTGCTGTTTGGCAGCAGCAGTGTCTCCCTCTCCTTCCTCTTCCTGCACCGCCTCAACCTCGCCTATGCTGCCATCTTCGCCCCCACCGCATTCATCGCCTCCCTCCTGGGAGTCACAATCGTGGGCCGAATAGTCAAGAGCACCGGCCGTGCTTCGATCATCATCTTCATCCTCACCGCAATCATTGCGGTGGGGACCACGCTGACTGTGGTGCTGGGCGCGCCAAGGATTTTCGACGATGTGATGCATGGCAGGAACCTCTGGTTCCACTCGCTCTGCCCTGCCAAGAAATGCTTATGAATGACTCGTGCTGGGCTGATAAACTCTCTCCGTTGCTCAAAGGTTCTCTCCAATTCCCTTGTACTGTAGTTTCTTTTCCACATGCTGATGCCAGAGCTCCCAAATGCTGATAAAAGTTTTTTTCAAAAGATGCTCTCCAGTTGCTGCTAGATGCTCTCCCAGCCGCTACCAAACTGAAGCAAGCTCTCAATCAGCCTGCGGAGGTGGAACAGGCTGGATTAGGATGTGGGGAACAGACGGCACAACACAGGCCGTGAGACAGCCTGCCTTACGCACGCAGGGAAGCACTATCGCAGGAGCACGGGGCAGCCGTCGCATTGTGCTCCCACAGGAGAGCTAGTTCAAGTCTGTCTGACCTGGAGATAGAGCCAACCATTCCTTGCCCCAGCGAGGCATGGATTCAGATTCAGAGACAATGTGACGTGTAATGAGCGCACTTGTGCTGCGGAATGGAAACTGCACAGTGCACACACACATGTACCGTAATACCCCGGATAGAAGCGCACCTGCGCTTATAATAAAACATTGTTTTTTGGGGGGGTGCGCTTATAATTGAGTCAGATTTATAAGCGCATGCGCTTGTATAAAGGGAAAAATGAAAATCAATTTTGAACACACCATTGTGAAGCTCTCAATAAGGCGAATTCAACCGACCATGCACCAAGTGGGATCGTGCATGGTTTTCAGGCAGAAACCGCAGCGGTTCGGTTTACCACCGCACAATGTTGTCTGGAAACATAGAATGTGACAGCCGTGACGATGATGTTGTCGTGCGGCCCAATCAGAGCCGCATGCGCTGCGAGGCATGTGCATTCGGGCAGAACCATCTCGAAGGTTCGGCAAGATTCTCTGCCAGCGCAGCGTAGATGCTGCCACGCAGGCGCCTCTACGGGAGTGGGCGGGGGTTTCCTGCCTGTCATCGACGAGGAACCCGAGCCGTCACACAGCAGGGGTCACCGTCGTTGCCCATTTCTTCACCCTCTTCTCTGATTTTTTCATTCAGTTCCTTGTCAACCCCGCCTGGCAGGCGAAGCCATGGCGGAATTTAGTGGGACGAGCATCCTCTTCAAGAAAAAGCCACGCCGCACATGGCGACTTACCGAAGACGGGTGGTATACCCGTGAGCCACCAGCGCCTCCAGTGCCACCGGATCCCCCTGCACCCCCTGCTCCTCCTGCTCCCCCTGCACCCCCTGCTCCACCCGCTCCTCCCGCACCTCCCGCTCCTCCGAATCCGCCTGCTTTTGCCACGGCAGGTGCTCACCAACGGCCCGTGCTCCAACTGTATTTACCAGCCACGTTCGACGAATGGTTGGCTGAAGCGGACACACCGAAGGCCCGCGATGCACGCATCCAAGCTCCAGCGACTGCACCACGGTGGGGACAACCAGAATCCTGCGCGTGGGATGAGTCGGCTGTGGGCGCCGACGATGATGTGGCTACCGATAAACATGACAGCGGCGCCGGCGAAGCTGGAGGCGACGGTGAAGCTGGTGGCGACGGTGCAGCGGGCGACGAGGAAGACGTGTTCCCCGACCGTGACGAGGACGAGGACGGTGTGGAGTCCTGGTGGCGCGACGCACCACGCGCGAAGATGCCGGTACCGACATATCCGCCCCTTAATAAAAAACGCCCCCACCCGTCTACCGAGAATCGAGATGCCCGCCCCCCCTCCCCCAGGCACAAGCTGAATCAACATAAGCGGCAGTCCTACACCGCCCAGGAGAAGTTGAGGTGGCTCGTGCGGCTCGAGCTTGCGGCTTCGGTGAGCGAAGTGGCGCGGGAGTCAGGCATTCACCGAAAATGTCTGACAGAATGGAAAGCCCAAGCGGATGCGCTCAAGGCTGCACACGGAGCACGGATGCGACTTCACGGGCGCGGGAGGTCGTCTTGGTACCGCCCCATGGAGTTAAAGGTGTACGCGCAACTCCTCGACTGGCGACGCCGCGGAGTTGCGGTTTCGGTCGGCCGGCTGCAAGAGTGGTCCAAAGAAGTGATGAAGGTTCTATACCCGGACGTCAAGTGGAAAGCCAGTCAGCGGTGGACGGAGCGGTTCCGCAGGCGGTGGAACCTCAGCGTGCGCATGAAAACAAAGGTGGCACAGAAAACACAGGAGCGTAAGTGAGTCGTTTACTGCTGATTTTGGTGGGTACCCGATTGCGCTTAGTTTTTTTCGCATGTCTCCTATGCGTCATACTAATTTGGTTTACTGTATGTACCTTTCTCCCTGTTCTGCAGACGTGGCTGAGCAGTGCAATGATTTTTGGCAGTACGTACGTGACGCCCGTCACGAATACGACATTGACAACCGCTACATCATCAACGCCGACCAGACACCGCTGTGGTTAGAGATGCCGGCGACGACCACCGTGGAGCAGACGGGCGTGAGGTCGGTGCCCATTCGCAGCGGTGGGTACCAGAAGGAGAGAGTGACCGTCATGCTTGCGTGCACGGCGACGGGCGAGAAGCTGAAGCCGTGGGTGTTTTTCAAGCGCAAGACACTCCCCAAGGGTGACTTCCCGAACGGTAAGTGATCGTCCACCGTGTTTATTCCCGTTACTACCTGAGTCGTTAACTGTTCTTTTTCGTTGCGTGCAGATGTTGTGGTCGGCTGCCAAGCCAACGGGTGGATGGAGGCCGCAGGCGTCATCGAGTGGCTCAACACGGGCGTGGTGCCGTTCCTGAAGCCGAAATTCGGCCTGCAGAGTCGTAGCGCCATGCTGGTGCTCGACTCGTATCGCGGTCACCTGACACCAGAAGTCAAGGCGAGATTCGCGGCGCTCAACATCGTGCCTGCTATCATTCCGGCGGGTTGCACGGCAGACCTGCAGCCCCTCGATGTGTCGATCAACAAAAGCTTCAAAGCAAGCATTCGTCAGCAGTACCAAAATTGGTTTGAGGAGGACGGCATGAACATCCTGACCCCGGCAGGTGAGTGACGGCATGTGCTCCCGTCTGCAAATCTTGAGCTTGAATGCATGTTTACTTGTCTCATGTTTTCCCCGCCCCACTCCGTGTGATGCAGGGAACATCAAGAAACCACCTCCGGAGGTGGTGCTCAAGTGGATTTCACGGGCCTGGAAGGCGGTGCCCGCCGACCTCATCAAGAAAGCCTTCCTCACTTGCGGCATCAGCAACGCCCTTGATGGGAGCGAAGACAAACTGGTGCTAGCGCACCGAAGGTGCCAGTTGTCCCATGAGGTGGAGGTGGACGACGACATCCAGGCAGATGGGTTCTGGGGCAACAACTCCACGGAGCCTGAGTCGGACGAGGAGGAAGAAAAGGCAGTAGGGTAGACTAGGCAGGTTGAAAGGTGTAGTGCAGGACAGCAGAGACCACCCTTGTATGTGATAGTCATTCTTAATGGAAAGTTTAGAACATGTAGGCTAGGTAGGTTAAAAAAAATGAAATTCTTTTTTTTTTTTTAACTAAACGAGTGCGCTTATAATAAGTCAAGAATTCCAAAGGGGTGCGCTTATAATTGAGGATCGGCCATAAGCGCATTGCTCCAGATACAAGCGCATGCGCTTAACATAGGCCTGCGCTTCTATCCGGGGCCATACGGTACTAGCGTCAGTACAAAGAGGGTCGGGATCTACAGGAGCAGGTGGTCTACTAAGGTACGGACCTGCAATGACAGCTGAGCTGATATATACCGTACTAGGTGTCCTCTTTCCTAAAGCAATGGCCACCATTGCGTTACTCCCCTCCCCTACACTAAATCCCATGATCCCATTGCACCGGCTCCCACTGCAATGACCCTCATGGCCCCATCACCCCACCAGCATCACCACATGATGGATTGCTGAGACATCGAGGTTGCACGGGCCACAAGAGTCGACGCTTGCCGCCCGTGCAGATAGGTTGAGAGATCGATGGGCAGAAGCAGGTGGCCATCAAAGATCATATTCACTCCGGGGTACGCCGGGCGGGAGAGATCGTCCTCTTCCTCCTCTGATGTGAAGCTTGGATCGCGATTTGATTGCGCATAGGGGTCCTGGTGATCATCTTGAGTGGCTGCAAAGCTGGGCAGTGGAGGGAGGGCGTAAGAGCAAGAGAAAAAGTGAAAGTTAGGAAAAACGAAGCAAAAAAGGAAGAGTGAGACGGTGAGTGGAACAAGGGGATCAACTTCCATTGTTGGGTCCCTTTCCTGAGGGGCATGGAAATCACATAAACCACCTATACCTGGGAGCTTGGTTCTCGGGCAGGTACCAAAACTCTGAAAAGTTTCGGCTCAGCCGGTGCTTCTGCCCCATCCTCCCCCTCCTGTCCCCCGCCCTCCTCCCCCCTCCCTTCTCCACATCCACTGCTGCCACTGCCGCCGCAATCACCCCCCCAATCTCCCCTCTCCTCCCTCCTCCCCGCCCCCCACCCCTCTCCCCTGCTCCCCTCCCCGACGGCGACGGCGGCACGTGCCTGACAGTCCGTCTGGGAAGCAGCACCGAGAAGGGAGACGCAGCAGCAGTGGAGGCGGCGAAAGAAGCAGACCAACGTCTAGAGGTGGACCGCAGGAGAGCCACATTCCCGGTGTAGACAGCCCGGGAGACAGGTCCGTGCTGGCGGTAGTCAGAAATGAACTCCCGGAGGGCGGAGCGCAGGGAAAGGGTGGAGCGGCGCTGCGAGGCGAGCTGTGGCGGGGTGAGCATGCTGTGAGCGACCACGGCGTCGCACACCTGGCAGCACAGCTGCGTGTCGAAGAGGGGGATGCCGAACTCTACGCTGTGTGCCACCCACTCCCCCTGCTGCCGCTGCTGCTGCTGCGTCTGTGAGAGTCCCCCGGCGCCTACTGCTGCCCCGTCTCCTTCACTGACGTCTATTCTCAAGCTCCCTTTTCCACTGGCCGTGCCAGTGCCAGCAGCACCCCCACCTTCTTCATCCTCCTCGTCCTCGTCCTCCCCTGCCTCTGTTCGGATGACTCTAACGAACCCCACAGCATCCACAGCCAGCACCTCTGCTGCTCGCCTGGCTGCTGCCACAATTGGCGACTCCTCCTCCTCCCTCTGCTGCCCCGCTCCCTGCACCACTGCCCCTGCGCCATCACCGCCATCACCACCAGTGCTATCACTTACCCCCTCGCCCTCAACTCCCTCACTCCTGCGTCCCTCGTCGCCCCCTGCTGCACCACCCACCGCTTCCCCAGCAGTTTCAGTACCCCCCAGCCTCGTCCTTCCTAATGATCTCCCCCCTCCCTGCGGCTTCTGCGGCTGTGACAACGCCCCATCAGTTGCTCGAGCCTCACTGGGGTCAGGCCGAGAGCGAGGGGGCAGAGGGAGAGCAACTGTGGCAATATCCGGCTCCCCTTCCTCAGTGAGACACCCCACGCCCTCCCCCACCCCCTCCACTGCCCCATCCGCACCCCACAACCCTCCCTCCGCTCCCCCTCCCCCTCCCCCTGCTGCTCTCACAGCTGAGTTCGACCCAGTGCGGGAGAAACCAGGAGCAGGAGCAGGCGGGGCGGCCAGAGGCTGGATCATCACAGCAGAGTGCCTCAGCAAGCTGTTCACCACATGCAGCAGCACGGTCCCAGGCACCAGCGACCCTTCACTCTTCGCCCCCACTCCCCCGACCCCCATCCCATCCCACGTCCACACCAACGCCTTGTCACACGTCACCAGCGGCGGCGGCAGCAACCTCAGCCTCAGCCCCCTCATCAGCACCACAGAAACCGGACCAGAGGCCGTTTTCGCGTAGAGGAACAGCTTTGCCCAAGGGGAGAGGAAGGCGGGGGCGGGTGGGCCGAAGTGGGCGGGGCCGGAGCCGTCAGGGACGACTGCGTTGAGGGGCTTGGGGAGGGGGACGATGGAGACGACGAGGTCAAAGTCGCGGCGCAAGAGACGGTGCAGCGTGGCGGGTGCTAGGCCCTGTAGGCTCTCTGTTCGCAGCACTTCCACCCGGTTGAACGTGGCTCGGTTAGACATTGCTGCTGCTGCTGAGGAAGATGAGGATGATGGTGGTAATGGTGGTAATGTGGCTGCAGCGGGAGGGGGCGGGGCAGCAGGAGAAGAGGAGCCGTCATCGTCGCCTGCGTCTGCTGCTGCCAGTGCCGGGTACGACGCAGCCCGTGGGTGCAGCGGCTTCTCCTGCAGCTGAGACCCCTCCGAGCCTGCCGCACTGCTGCCTGAAACACCATCAGGTGCGGTTGCAGAGTCGGCATGTGAAGAGGTGGGTTGCGATGCGCTGACAGAGTCAGGGAGGGACTGGGAGGAGGAGGAGGCGACGAGGTGGGAGGGGATGGGGAGGGGGAGGTCTGAGGGGTCGACAGTAGAGGCAGAGTCAGCCACACTGCGCGTGGACCAGGTGTCATCCGGGGCAGGCGCATCTGCAGCAGCAGCCCCCACAGCCGCCCCCTGTGCAGATTCCGAAGAGCCTGGAGGGTCACTGGCAGCACTGGGCTGACTAGAGGGTGAAGAGCGAGGGGCAGGATGGGGCGGTGCGATAGCTGCTGCAGTGGCGGCGGCGGCAGCAGAAGAAGCAGGGCGGGGGGTGAGGAGGGCGGAGGTGATGTCAATGGTGCCGGTGCGGAGGCAGGAGAGGGCGTATCGGAGGCTGAAGGCGTGGTCCGTGAACTTCTGCAGCTCGCCCTCCAGCTGTGTCTTCTCTACCGCTCGCAGCTCCCCACACAGCTCTGCTACACTGCGCTCTGAGAGTTTTCCTGCTTCAAACAGAGTCACCGCGTGCTGCTTTAGTTCTGAGAGGGATGTGGGGAAGCAGGGGATACGTGGGGGACAGAAGAGGAGAGGCTGAAGGCGTGGTCACTGAACTTCTGCAACTCGCCCTCCAGCTGTGTCTCCTCCACGGCCCTCAGCTCCCCACACAGCTCCGCCACACTCCTTTCTGACAGCTTGCCTGCTTCAAACAGAGTCACTGCGTGTTGCTTCAGCTCTGTGGGGGACATGGACAGTCGGCATGAAAGGGCTGGGGGGAGGAGTGAGAGGGGGAGGAGTGAGAGGGGGAGAGCAGGGGATGAAGGGAAGAGGAGAAGGTGACAGGCCGGGCAATGAATAAAAGGGTTCAGCATCAGTGCAGCTCGCCCTCCAGCTGTGTCTTGTCTTCTCCACCGCTCTCAGCTCCCCACACAGCTCTGCCTTTGAGTCGACTCAAAAGCATCAGTGCAGCTCGCCCTCCAGCTGTGTCTTGTCTTCTCCACCGGTCTCAGCTCCCCACACAGCTCTGCCTTTGAGTCGACTCAAAAGCATCAGTGCAGCTCGCCCTCCAGCTGTGTCTTGTCTTCTCCACCGCTCTCAGCTCCCCACACAGCTCTGCCTTTGAGTCGACTCAAAAGCATCAGTGCAGCTCGCCCTCCAGCTGTGTCTTGTCTTCTCCACCGCTCTCAGCTCCCCACACAGCTCTGCCTTTGAGTCGACTCAAAAGCATCAGTGCAGCTCGCCCTCCAGCTGTGTCTTGTCTTCTCCACCGCTCTCAGCTCCCCACACAGCTCTGCCTTTGAGTCGACTCAAAAGCATCAGTGCAGCTCGCCCTCCAGCTGTGTCTTGTCTTCTCCACCGCTCTCAGCTCCCCACACAGCTCTGCCTTTGAGTCGACTCAAAAGCATCAGTGCAGCTCGCCCTCCAGCTGTGTCTTGTCTTCTCCACCGCTCTCAGCTCCCCACACAGCTCTGCCTTTGAGTCGACTCAAAAGCATCAGTGCAGCTCGCCCTCCAGCTGTGTCTTGTCTTCTCCACCACTCTCAGCTCCCCACACAGCTCTGCCTTTGAGTCGACTCAAAAGCATCAGTGCAGCTCGCCCTCCAGCTGTGTCTTGTCTTCTCCACCGCTCTCAGCTCCCCACACAGCTCTGCCTTTGAGTCGACTCAAAAGCATCAGTGCAGCTCGCCCTCCAGCTGTGTCTTGTCTTCTCCACCGCTCTCAGCTCCCCACACAGCTCTGCCTTTGAGTCGACTCAAAAGCATCAGTGCAGCTCGCCCTCCAGCTGTGTCTTGTCTTCTCCACCGCTCTCAGCTCCCCACACAGCTCTGCCTTTGAGTCGACTCAAAAGCATCAGTGCAGCTCGCCCTCCAGCTGTGTCTTGTCTTCTCCACCGCTCTCAGCTCCCCACACAGCTCTGCCTTTGAGTCGACTCAAAAGCATCTGTGCAGCTCGCCCTCCAGCTGTGTCTTGTCTTCTCCACCGCTCTCAGCTCCCCACACAGCTCTGCCTTTGAGTCGACTCAAAAGCATCAGTGCAGCTCGCCCTCCAGCTGTGTCTTGTCTTCTCCACCGCTCTCAGCTCCCCACACAGCTCTGCCTTTGAGTCGACTCAAAAGCATCAGTGCAGCTCGCCCTCCAGCTGTGTCTTGTCTTCTCCACCGCTCTCAGCTCCCCACACAGCTCTGCCTTTGAGTCGACTCAAAAGCATCTGTGCAGCTCGCCCTCCAGCTGTGTCTTGTCTTCTCCACCGCTCTCAGCTCCCCACACAGCTCTGCCTTTGAGTCGACTCAAAAGCATCTGTGCAGCTCGCCCTCCAGCTGTGTCTTGTCTTCTCCACCGCTCTCAGCTCCCCACACAGCTCTGCCTTTGAGTCAACTCAAAAGCATCTGTGCAGCTCGCCCTCCAGCTGTGTCTTGTCTTCTCCACCGGTCTCAGCTCCCCACACAGCTCTGCCTTTGAGTCGAGTCAAAAGCATCTCTGCAGCTCGCCCTCCAGCTGTGTCTTGTCTTCTCCACCGCTCTCAGCTCCCCACACAGCTCTGCCACACTCCTTTCTGACAGCTTTCCCCCCTCAAACAGCGTCACTGCATGCTGCTTCAGCTCTGAGAGGGGCAGGGGCACAAGGGAGGGGTAGGGAAGCGGGGTCCTGCCGAGAGAGGAAGAAGGGAACGGGAAGGGTTTGGGAAGAGACGTTTGATTTGCACGTCGCCCTCACACCCACTAGGGAACCCTTGGCACCCACACGCTCTGTTTCTGCTCCAGCTCTGGGCGAATGGAGGTTGGACGTTGGCGGAGGGGGTTGAAGCCCAACATATGCAAAGGAGAAAGGCAAAAGGCGGTGCCTCACCATAGGAGAAGGAGCCCATCATGAGGAAGGACGGACGTGAGGTTGGCATCCACCATGAGCGCCTTTTGAGGCACCTCAGAGCTCTCGCCTCACTAAGTATAGGGACTATAGGAGAAAAGAGACAGGGCATGTGTGCCTCACCGTACGAAAAGGAGCCCATCATGAGGAAGGACGTGAGGTTGGCGTCCACCATGAGCGCTATCCTCAACCGATCCGCCCCCCCGCCCTCCCCCCACCCCACCGACTCCATCTTCTTCCACCCCACTACCTGCCCGCCCCCCACTCCCTCCAACCCCCCCTCCCCTCCCCCCATCCCCGCACCCAACCCCCCGTCTCCAGCACCGAACCCCTCAGTGCCGAGGCCCCCATCGCTGGTGTCCGCGTCCCCCCCCATGTCCATGTGGTCCAGGAGCGAGTGCAGGTCCAGGACCTTCTCCGCCCACCCCAGGCGGCATGCGAGGGAGATGGCGGCTCCTAGCTGCCGCACGTCCGCTTGGAGGGTGAGTGCCATCTCGTGCACTGTCGCCTGCTCGCTGGCTGTGACGAAGAGAGAGTAGAGCAGCCTGGGGCAGTGGGGAAGGAAGGAGGAGAGAGAAGCTTCAGTCACTGAGCGGATGGAGGTGTTCTCATATATAGCACTGACTGTGCAGATGGGCTGCGGTAACACCGAAAGCTGAGGGCATGGGTGAACTGAGAGAGAGACAGAGGCAACAGAGGCAGGAGGTCGAGGCAGGAAGAGGCAGAGACGTACTTTTCAGAAGCGTCCTCGCCTTGCTGGTTCCTGTTGGACACAAAGCCCTCCAGCGATGACACTGCACAAAGTAGGGGGGTTCGGAGAGGGGGGAGGGGCAGAGAGGAGGGAGGGCGGGAGAGGAGAAGGTGGCAGAGTGAAGAGGAAGGCGGAGAAGAACAGGTACGCACCAGAACAGGTAGAACAGGCATGGGCACTGCACTGCATGCTCGCACTGCAGTGCATGGTCTTGACAACAACCAGGCGCAGCGTGGAGGCAATCATTGCGGTAGATCATGCAGACATCGAGGTACACAAGCACTTGCAGTGCAGCGAGCGCACACCAGAACACAGCCAGATTACGCCCCCAGCACTATTTGCCCCTGACGCCATTCCCCCCTGCCACAGGTTATGTCCTCCCGGCACAGGTCGTACCGCGGAAGCGGTGGTTGGGGTAGACAGGGACGTCCAGATACACGAGTCCCTTGCAGTGCAGCGCGCGCACACACACCAGCACAGGGTTACATTTAATCACAGCACTTTATGCACGCCAAGCAATGCACGCAAGCAGGCGTACCACGGAAGCGGTCGTTGGGGTAGACGGGGACGTCAAGGTAGACAAGCCCCTTGCAGTGCAGCGCGCGCACGAGGTCGTCGTCAAACTCGCCCGCCATGCAGTCTCCCTCGTGCCCGCCGCGCTCTATCACACTCAGCTCATCCTCTGTCAGCCTCTGGTGCCGTGCCGGGATATGGGTGATGAAGGGGGTGCGTGCGACGAGTGGGCAAGTGATTGTAAGCTACAAGAGGTGGGAAGGTAGCTAGATGCATGAGAGCATGAGACCGTAAACGGATCTGACGGATCTGACAATTACCGTGGGTTAAACTCAAGATTTTCGCCCAGCCTCCTCACCTCGCAATGTAATCGGTACCCTGTACCCTGTACCCGCTTTAGGCTCACTCTGTACTCGTCAGCAGTGAGGTTGACGACGCAGACGAGCCACCAGGGCTGGATGGGGAAGGGCACTGGCTCCAATGGCAGCATGTCCTTCACTATTCCGCGGTTCACCCTCCACATCAGCTGATGCTCGCTCAGGGGGGGTGGGAGAGGGAAAACGGGCAGAGGAGGACAGATACCGATTCAGTAACGCAATTGTACAGTTCCATTCCATGTGATCAGATTCATGTCACCAACTCCAGCGGCAGCATGTCCTTCACTATGCCCCGGTTCACCCTCCACATCAGCTGATGCTCGCTCAGGGAAGGGACGGATGGGCAGGGAGACAGAACGAGAGTCGGCGCGGGATATAGAGAGACTGTCAGTCCAGGCAAGATCTTATTTAAAGTGAAGATGCAGCATGAAGGCAAGAGGTCATGATGGCATGATGGCATTGGATGCATGAGTGCATGAGTGCATGGGTGTATGCAGGGAGCGGCGGGCCACCTTGGCGCGGGCGCGGTTCATGATGTCAATAAACTGGTTGCGCCCGATGCCCGTCTCCCTCAGTGCATCCGCTGCTGTGAAGTTGGGAATTGTGTCGTAGGACTTCTCTGCACGCGGCGCACATGGGAGGGGGGGGAGGAGGAGAAGGTTAAGTGAGGCGGCTAACCCATGCAGCATGCCAGTGCGACACAACACTTGCTGTGCCCACCCTTCTGCATCCACATCGATTTCTCCCGTCACACATTCGTCACAGTCACCTCACCTTGCTTCATGACGTCACAGTCACCTCACCTTGCTTCATGACGTCACAGTCACCTCACCTTGCTTCATGACGTCGAGCAGCAGGTCGCTATAGTAGCGGAAGGGGGAGATGCGCAGCACACGGCAGATGTAGTCCGCCAGGTGGTACGGGAATGGCTGCCACGCACCATCATCAACACACACACACACACACGGATACAAGCATCAACACACATGATGTTTCAGCCGACTCAAACGTCAGCCAGTTGGCATGGGAAACGGCTGCCAGGCACGAGCATCCACCTAGACACGGACACAAGCCGATCCCGCCCACAGTTTCTCAATGCAGGCTTCATTCTTCCCGGAATCGTACGCATTCCTGGTCTACAAAGTTTCTTGATTGTCCGTGTCATCATTGAGTCATGAGTATGGGAGGCGAGGCGAGGCGAGACGCACGGCTTGGGTCTTGCGGCCGTGCGCGATGAGCTCGTTGTAATAGTCCACCTCGCGACACACGAGACGCGCGGGACTGTCGGGCCAGCGCAGCCGCAGCTGGAAGCAATGCTCCTTGATGCTGGATTGGGGTCGGATTTGGAGCATGGGAGGAGGGGAGGGAGGGTCGCGTTGAGGTGAATGACGAGGAGGGAGCTATGGAATTGTCGGCATTTTCAATCGTACGGCTGAGAACGAATGACGAGATTCAGAAACTTGCAGATTCGGGTGATCGTACAATCTTGACAGCGTGGCTGAGGCGTCACAGAATTCACGACAGAGATATAAAAAGCTAACGCCTTTCACCTCTCTTAGGAAAGCGCAGTGTTGGTCAGAGCTTTGCCAATGCCAATGCTAGAGCACATACCGTCTAATGTATTCTTCGTTCGAGCCTAGAAAGAGTTTCGCTCGTTTCGGCAGCTGGTCCCATGGTAGGCCTTCACGAACGGCCTTCGATATTAGCTGTTCTTCCATAACGGCGTCTTACGACGTGTCGCGAGTGAACATGAGACGGAGATTCTGGCGGAAAGTACGAAACTGGAATTTCCAGAGGCAAATGTATTGGATGTGAGGCGCCGAATGAAAGGGAGGGATTGAAACAAGATCCTTTCGCAAAATGGCGGTATTGCGCTGTCTGATGCTCGCCTACGAGCGCACAGCTTAGCTACGAATGTGAAATGCCATGGCTCTCTGTGAAGATGAGGGCTAGAATGAGGTGGCAAGGTGTGGGAAGAATCTGACAGAGGAGGCGACGGATGACTTGGAGCAGGGGGGACTCCTGGGGAATATCGGTGGAATAAATACGCGATATTGACTCTAGCGACATAGAAAAGAAAGGCTTCAGCAACAGTGTTCGTGGTTCACTAGAGTGATTAGCATATACGACAGTTCTGGTTTATAAATTGACATCCTGGCTGGTATTTGGCTGGACTTTCTTGAGCCAGATTTGGCTCGTTAAGACCCAAATAAGGTATTAAGTCTTGTAATTTGCACCAATGGTTGAACTACCATTTAGAGTGAGATGTGTTGATAAATATTTTGTGCAATTCGTTCACATTTTCAGATGGTGTTAGCTAGTGCAGCTAAGGTTGTCTGGAACAAGATGGTTCTCAGCGGAGCAATCCTCATCAGCCCCTCCCTGCTTCTGACATGTCTCTGTCTGCAAGGAGACATGTCAGATTCTCGAGTTCTAGCTTTCTTGGTCCGACTTCGAAGCTATCCCTTTCAGGTCCCGAATTTATTGCATTGAGCAGCTAGCGACCAACTCATACTTCGTGTTTTCTCTCCAGCGCTCACGTTCCTAGCTGTATCTTTTTCGGATTTGGTTTGCGGGGCTTCTGACAGAAAATTATAGATCTTGCAGAAACACTACGGTGTCTATTCGGCACCTTGTTTCCTCACACGTCGTCTGAGTGCAATCCGAATCTGGCAAAATGTCGGGGAGCTCGGTCACTCTCGCGTTGGAAAGGGTAATCCTAGCAATCTAAGCAATCCAATGGTTACGTAATCAGTCGCAAAACGCTCGAGCTGCCTTCGCATCTGTGACTAACTTCCGTCGTTAACATTTCGTCGAATGTCCTGGCAGATAGCGAGCAAGGATAAGGATTTTCGTTACATGGGAACATCGGATCTGCTGAACGAGCTGAACCGAGACACGTTCCGCATCGACCCGGACAGCGAGAAGCGCCTGTGCCACGTGGTGCTGCAGCAGCTCGACGACGCCTCGGGCGACATCTCCGGCCTCGCCGTCAAGTGGTGCGTGCCGTGCGACATCGTCGCTCATGCATGGTCACTTGCGTGCACGGTCCCGGTTCCCGGCATCCAGTGTTTGGTTTATGGTTTGAGATTGTCCTAGATAGAATCCAGACTGACAGAATTCAAATGGTCGAGGAAAATGCCTGACAGGCGAAATCGAATCTCGTAGTCATTCAGTGGCGCCAACTCGATCATGTTTTCCCGCGTCTGGTCTGCTGCGTGTTTCCCGTTTCCGTCACCTGACGTTTTCCGTCAGCCTGGTGCCGTTAGTGAAGAAGGTGAGCGAGGCGCGCGTGGCGGAGATGAGCGCGGCGCTGGTGGGGAAGCTGCTGACGGGGAAGGACCAGCAGCGCGACATCGCTGCCATCGCGCTCAAGACCGTTGTGGCCGAGGTCGCGTCGCCGCCCGCCATCCACCACCTGCTCGCGTCCCTGCCGGCCAGACTCACCGCTGCTATCGACTCCCCGGTGCGTAGCAAGGCGTGAGGGTCGCGTTGCTGGTTGAATTCAACTTGAGGATTGATTGCTCTGCTGCACGGGTTGTTAATGGTGTTAGATTGACCATCCGCCCGCCATCCACCACCTGCTCGCGTCCCTGCCGGCCAGGCTCACTGCTGCTGTCGACTCCCCGGTGCGTGCATGCGAGGCGTAGGGTTTGCGGGTGGCGTTGCTGGGTTGTGTATGCGGAGTGGATGGATGGATTTGTAGGGGTTGTTTGATGGTGTCATTCTTTCGCCACACCAACCCAACACATCCCTTTTCATTGCTGCACTGCGCATTACCACACCACATCCCTCCACATCACCCCACCCTACCCCTCCGCATCATCCAGCCACATTCCTCCTCATCACCACGTCTCACCCATCCGCACCACACTTCTCCGCATCACACCGTTCCTCATCACCGCAATGCATCCCCCACGCTGGGCAGGACACGAGCGTGGACGTGAAGGGCGAGTGCCTGGACGTGCTGGGGGACGTTCTGCAGCGGTTTGGAGTGGTGATGGCCGGTGACCACGAGCGGCTGCTCGTGCCCCTGCTGCAGCAGCTCTCCTCCCCCCGCGCCTCTCTTCGCAAGCGAGCCACCCAGTGCCTGGGTACGCCTAAAAGGCCATATCATCTCCTGACCAACATGTTAGCATCATGACTGCTGACTCAGTGCCTCAAAAGAGGCCACGGAGTGCGTGGGTATGCCTACAAGGCAATAACATCTCCAGACCAACATGCTAGCATCTTGTGGCGTAGCTGTCTTTGTAGCAGCTACAATGAACACAGCGTTCCTGCCCCACCAACTCCTTCCCATTGCACGGGTCATCAGCTGCTATCTCCCTGTGTTCCTTCACCCATGTGCATGTTCCCCTGTACTATCGCCCTGTGCACATCGCTCTCTCCCCCGTGTGCGTGTGGGCGAGCAGCGAGTCTGGCGGCGAGTCTATCGGACGACCTGTTGGCGAGGGCGACCAAGAGCGTGGTGGCACTGCTGCAGCGCACTGACCTCAAGCCCGACATGACTCGCTCCTACATCCAGATGGTCGGCGCGCTCTGGTATGCATGCTACACTGCAGATAGTGTGTGTGTGTGTGGTACGCCACTCGGCGCTCTCTGGTACGTCACAGTGCTCTGCGTGTTGGTAAATGCGCCCTTTCAAGCCCGACATGACTCGCTCCTACATCCAGATGGTCGGCGCGCTCTGGTATGCATGCTACACTGCAGATAGTGTGTGTGTGTGGTACGCCACTCGGCGCTCTCTGGTACGCCACAGTGCTCTGCGTGTTGGTAAATGCGCCCTTTCAAGCCCGACATGACGCGCTCCTACATCCAGATGGTCGGTGCGCTCTGGTACGTACGCCCCACTCTGCTCTACTGCCCACATGGTTGGGGTGGGACTCTTTGGTACACCGTGCTGCAAGTTGTGCAGTGCTGCAAGTTGTGCAGTGCTGCAAGTTGTGCAGTGCTGCAAGTTGTACAATGCGTTGGCAGGACATTGCACCAACCAAATCGTCTCCTCCGCTCTCCCCCTTGTCCCCCCACTTCTCGCGCTCCTCCTCCCCTGCCAGCCGGGCGGTGGGGTACCGCTTTGGGCCGCATCTGGCAGTGGTGCTGCCGCTCGTGGTGGGCTTCTGTGAGGGCGCCTCTGAGAACGACGACGAGATCCGCGAGTACTCCCTGCAGGTGCGTTCCTTTCCTCAGGCTCTTCATAAGTCCCAGGTTGAAGGCGTCTTGAAACTAGAATGAATCCTGCAGATCTGTGTCTGTGACACGGATCTTCCTTCTTCCGTTTATGATGCAGCTCTTCATTACCGTTGTGTCTGTGCGTGCAGGCATTGGAGAGCTTTGTGGTGCGGTGTCCCAAGGACATGGCAGAGCACTGCGAGGCGATCTTGTGTGTGTTCAACGTGATCCCTTGGGCGCCTCAGACACTAACAGCACCACCTGATTCCTTGTCCACCCCTCTGTGCGTGCAGGCATTGGAGAGCTTTGTGGTGCGGTGTCCCAAGGACATGGCAGAGCACTGCGAGGCGATCTTGTGTGTGTTCAACGTGATCCCTTGGGCGCCTCAGACACTAACAGCACCACCTGATTCCTTGTCCACCCCTCTGTGCGTGCAGGCATTGGAGAGCTTTGTGGTGCGGTGTCCCAAGGACGTGGCAGAGCACTGCGAGGCGATCTTGGACCTGGCGCTCAAGTACCTGAGCTACGACCCCAACTTCACTGATGACGCCATGGATGGCGACGGGGAGGGCGAGGGCGAGGAGGAAGATGAAGATGACGAGTGAGTGCGCGAGGGGGGAGGGGTAGGGCGGTGGTGTTTTGAGTCCACTGGGGAATCAGCTCAAAGAGGGATAAACTCAGCCATCTCGTACCTGAGCTACGACTGCAATGCCACTGATGATGCCATGGATGGCGAGGGCGAGGGCGAGGAGGATGATGAAGATGATGAGTGAGTGCGCTGTGTCAAGGATTGGGAGGGAAGGAGGAAACCTGAAGAGGAAGGGGGGAGACGGAGGGGGAGGGCGTTGGTGGTGACAGCTTAGGGTTGTGTGCATGCCATACCCCCGGGTCATCAGGCCCATGCATGCATCTACCATACCCCCCTGAGGCATCGGGTCCGTGCATGCATCTATCATCTGTACCCTCCGCCCACCATGCAGGGACGAGGAGGAGGAGTGCAGTGACGATGAGGACGTGAGCTGGGGTGGTATTGTGTGTGTATCATGCCATCTGCCATCCGCTGCACGCATGCATTGACACCCCTTGGTCATGTGCGCCGTGCAGGGACGAGGAGGAGGAGTACAGTGACGACGAGGACGTGAGCTGGAAGGTGCGGCGAGCAGCAGCGCGGTGCATCGCTGCC